ACTAGCTGCCTTCCCTCTAGTCTTACACTGCTAAATTAGGGATGGCTAGCGCAGATAGCCCTCGTGTAGCTTTGCGCGAAAATCCAAAACAAACAAACAAACAAACCTTTCAATAAAGAATTTTACAAGTACATAATTTAACGGCTGAGTTTTGCTAAAATAATACCCGATAGGCCGTTAAAAGGATATATGTTATTTTACGTTATTATTTAGATAATTAACTGCATATCTACTTGCATATATATATATACTTCTATCACTAACTAGTTACACGTTGAAAATTACAGCTGCAGTAGTTATTTTCACACCGTATAAATATAGCTGTTTATGAAAAATACTGGCGTAACAATAAACACTCTTAGTCGTATTTTATACTGAATAACATCAAAATAAAACGTCAGGGTTTTCAACCATAACCCAAAGAAACCGGACATCTATGGTAGGTTATTGATCATTCTCTGGTTTTATATCCGGAAAACGTCGAAAAAACATGAAAAATCGCAGAAACATCCTTCATATGGAGACGTTCTTCTTATAAGAAGACAGGGCAGCCGTTTTCCCTCAATTTGTGTTGCAAAAGGATCCTATCTCAAGAAAAGAGCTTTTCACTACTCATTCAACAATGTCAAAGATATTTGATTACAAGAAGCTAATACCTATAAATCTCAAATCTATTTTAACGGCTGTAAGAAGCTTTAGGAAAATTAAGATAGATTAGGCAAAATAAAATATAATAACGGGTTATATTAAGCAATCAACACTTCTGTCACGTCCTTGTCTTTTCCTTCTTTGTATTTTCCTTTCTGTAAAAATAAGTGCACAGTTACCCTTACAACATTGTTACGTTTCAGTTGAGAACAATACTGGACATTACCATTATGTTTGACAATGCATGGATTTTAACTATTCCTTCTCACACACAAAACAAATATAACTCCATCGGTGGATAACTCAGCGTGTGTAGCCGGCGAAGAATAAAGAACAGAGCTAGCCAGCTCCCTGTTAAGTGAATTGTATCTACATCAACTCCAAATTAACTCGCTCATCGTGAACCCTCGATAAGATATCAAGGAAATTACAGACTAGAAAGAAGACTTTATATTACTTGTAAGTTTATAAAACTTTTGTATATAAATCATTGTCTGTAAAAACTGTTATTGTAAATTGTATTATTGGTTGTATATTAAAATATATCTGTATTAAAAAAACTAGTGTGTATGAA